TAGTATAGGAATCATACATAATTATAAGTAAAATGTTCACACAACATCTTACTATACTGTTTCATACGTATTATGTCACACAACATCTTACTATACTGTTTCATACGTATTATGTCACACGTCTTAGAATATTGTTTCATATATATTATGTTACACAACATCTTACTATATATTAACTAATTATCGTCTCAACAACGTGTAATAAAAATGAACTTATATTGTTTGTTTATTTTATTTTTGCTTTTCGATAGAATAGTTCTAAGTTTAAGTTTGGCCGAAACAATCTGTGTCGGCTGATGTTGTGAATGAGTTTGATTTGAACTAAAAGGAAGATTTTCATTACAAACATGCTATGAATAAACTCTGGTTGGTGAAGTAAAATAGTTTTTATTTTAACTGCTGTGGGTTAACCTCTCGCTTTATTGCTAGATAATAAGATATTCGAAAATAGGATTACCACAAAACCAAACAAAGCTCAGATATGTTACTCACCTTGAGGGATTCTCCAGCATTTTGCCTGAGTACAAGACACCACAGAAGAACAGACTTTAAAACTTCACCTTTCATGATCATAGCTCTTGGATGAGTTCTAACAGAAAGTCTTAGCAGAATGTTCAATCAGTGAGGCTCTCCTTCTGCTTTTTATTCAATTCTGTGGCCACATTGCAGATCTCCTGTTCTGCGCTAAAACTATCAAAATCATTACAACCATACGCACGTAGGTAAAGAATCTCGTTGAACATTGGCTGAGGTGGCAAGTAAAACCAGCGAATAGGAGCAGTGTGTAAGAAGAACTTCACGAGAACCACACACGTCACCAGGTGGGTTATTCTTTCAACTGATTCATTAGCGTAGGCTCTAAAGACCATCCTGACTACTCGTTATTCATCGTTTATAATCTTAAATTTATTACATAACATTTATAACCTATTCTTTTTCAATTAATGTATCTCAGAATGTAGAAATACTATGACTCGTACCTCATTGCTTTCATCAATCTGTCTGTAATGTTTATATATAAAACGCAGTAATTTGTCCAGTGAAACGTTTTCATGATTATACTTTTTTATTTATGTAATGTAATCTTTAGAATGCTTTTTTTTGGCTGAACTTATTTAATTTTATCTAAAAACTTACATACAAACTGCTCATCGCTTGGTTATGTTTAGAGCTGTAGGAACTTGTTGTTAACATTTGGTCGTGTGTATTCTGCGTGTTTCTATTTACACAGTGAAAAGTGGTGCAAACCATAGTTGAGCCGTTTGTGGGTTTATTGTGTTTGAAAATTCCTGAAATGTGCATTATTTTATACAAATACTCTTCCATTTCAAGTTACAAACTGTTTCACTTCATGCAAGCGATACGCGAACACTGAATTTTATCTACATAAAAAACAATTACTTACTGAAAACTCGGATAGAGTAAGTAAACAAATGCGCAAATGTCAAAAAGCTTTCGAAGGATTACATCTCAAGAAAGCAGTTTGTGAAATGCAATGTAATTGAGTACGTTGTTGCAATTGTTTCCAAACTGAAGAAGAAGAAAAAAAGTTTGTTTTTCTTAAACGCCTTAAAGTAGGAACATAAATAGCTGTGATACGCAAACAATTTTAATACAGTTTCACTAATGGTTCGACTTCCACAAAACAAGTTATTTCTTATAAGATTTAAGGTAAACTAGAACCTTCAGGGATTTAACGAGAAAAAAAGTCAAAGCACGGCATGTCGTTAGATCAAAGTTATCAGTCTACAACAAATGAGAACAATCCAATAACATATAGTTGTATATGTTTACTTATCCAACCGTTTCACTGTTTTGCAATGAGGACAGCTAGCTAAGAATAATCAGCTGTACAATACGTAGGACGGCATTATGCAAGTATTACGCAAGCGCAATGGTAATATGTAGTAGCTGAATACGTGTGCTGTAGAATAGAAATATTTGTCTTTATAATTTATGATATCCGACTAACTGACGTATGAAAGGCTAGTCAAAAACTGTTGACGTATGAAAGGCTAGTTAAAACTGTTGACGCATGCCTTGTACTCTTGTGCCATTTATAGACACCTAGTTGAAGATTGTGTAACTATTATTGAACAGAGGGTTTCGTATTCTTAAACTTTAAAGTACGTCTGGTGGTGAAGTTCAACAGTTAGATACTTACTACCAAACAACTTTTAGACACCTGTGTAACTACTGTTAGACAACTCTTCAACACCTGTGTAACTACTGGCAAACAACTTTTAGACACCTGTGTAACTACTGTTAGACAACTCTTAAACACCTGTGTGACAACTGTTAGACACCTGTGTAACAACTGTTAGACAACTTTTAGACACTTGTTTAACTATTGTTAGACAACTTTTGAACACCTAAGTAACTACTGTCAAGCAAGTTTTAGACACCTGTGTAACTACCGTTAGACAACTTTTAGACACCTGTGTAACTACGGTTAGACAACGTTTAGACACCTTTGTAACTACCGTTAGACAACTCTTAAACACCTGTGTAACAACTGTTAGATACCTTTTAGACACCTATTTAACTATTGTTAAACAACTTTTGGAGACCTATGTAACTACTGTCAGACAACTTTTGAACACCTAAGTAACTACTGTCAAGCAAGTTTTAGACACCTGTGTAACTGCTGTTAGACAACGTTTAGACACCTGTGTAACTACCGTTAGACAACTTTTGGACACCAGTGTAACTACTGTCAAACAACTTTTAGACACCTGTGTAACTACCGTTAGACAACTTTTAGACACCTGTGTAACTACCGTTAGACAACTCTTAGACACCTGTGT